AAAACATATTTTCATCGATCTGACATATTAATCCCATAGACTTGACCTTTATCGAAGATACAATGAATTAATCATTCCCATATTGAAAGAAAAACCCGCTACTGAGTTTTTACATTTACACGACTATATATCATTTGTTGCACTTTATATGCAACTATATTTGTGTTCTTCTTATTCACATTCATAACCTCTTTTTTTTGTTTCTTAACATAACAATGTGATGAGTCATTATTCCTATTGTAGACTTGTTTTTGTCATCATGTAATATTTTCGTACACTAAAATTCTTATATTTATATTAAAATGGCTGATGCTATCAATACTTCAACTATAGTTAATCGTACTGATACTACAAATAATTCAACAAAATCATCGGATACACTTCGTCCATATTATTACACAGTATTTCAAACTCATTGTTGTGATACAAAAGCAGCAACATCAACAACAACAACCACAACTACTACACAACTTAAAGATACTTTACCAATATCAAAAAAGATCAAAGCTGAAGCAGAAGAACAATTAAATCGTATCCATGGTGCTCTTATTGAAAGACTTGAAGAAATTATAACATATACAAGTGTTGTACCAAGTGTATATTTTGATAACGATGATAATTTTCATATTTTTCGATATTTAATCGATCGAGTAATGTTTAAAACGATGAATGATGCTAGTATAATCAATTGGAATTCATCATTAAAAGAACTTTATCCAATTCGTACATCAGGTAAAAAAGTTTCAACAAAAATTTAACTATTTCATTGTTCATATAAATAGGTAATGGTAATTGTCTTTTACATGCTGTACTTATTGCTATGGTTGGTATACATGATTCGAATCTTTATTTACGTGATCGACTTGCACAATTTATGGATGAAAATAAAGATTTATTAAAAAATCATTGGCGAATTGAAAGACTTAAATCGGATAAAAGTTATGGTATACGTTCGGAAGATTTTAAACTTAATAATGTAAGATATGAGTATAGTTTTTCATATTTTATTTTTTCATAATTAGGAATGGGATGAATTATGTAGTATTGTTCATTATGATAAACCTGAAGATGGACAAACAACAATTTATTTAGAATTTCTTGAAGCTGTACATATATTTTCTATAGCAAATATGATTCGTCGACCGATTATTGTTTTATCTGAAGATGTTATTCGAAATAAAAATGGTGAAGCTATATCAGTTAATGATCTATTCGGAATTTATTTACCTATTCTATTAGCACCAAGTGATTGTATTCATGAACCTATTGTATTAGTTTATGATCATTCACATTTTTGTCCTTTACTTACCAGTGATAGTCATAAAGACAAATTAAAACAAAATCTTCTTCCACTTTATCAATCAATTAATCATACATATGATCAAAGTTTATTACCTATTCGATTTTTAGGTGATGATACAAGTTCTGAACGTTCACTTAATTTACTTCGTGAATATTTAAGAATACAAAAAATAAAATATAATTATGATACAAAATCTTCACCATTATCTATTTTCTGTGCTGAATTGGGTAGTAAACAATTATCGATGAGATATAATTTTTTTATTCTATATCACAAATATCTAACGGATTTCTTTGAAGTTCAAAAACCTAAGGTACTCGAAGAAGAACGAAACCGTGATAAACAATATGAATTAGATAATAATGTTTCTCGTCAAATGAAGAATGATAGTAGTGGTTGGTCATTACTTAGACCCGATCATGTATCAAATTCATTACCTTCGGTGTCATCACAACGATCGTATACAACTCTTAATAATGATAAAATGTATAGTCAAAAATATGATACGTCTGATTCACGATATACGCTTCATTCTCCTCTCAATGATGAACCGTATGTACCATCCAATGGTGCTATTCATTTTGAAAAATCTTCAATTCAACCGAATAAATCAGTTCGACTACCAGATTATGCTCGAGTCCTAGAACGAGATTTGAATGGTACATATACTCATTCATCTCCGGTAAAACAAGCGTCTTCAACAAATTATCCAGATAATATTAATAATGTGAAAAGTAATGATAAATCTATTAACAATTTAAATATTAATCTACCAAAGAATGATTCGAAAGCTAGTCGAGGTAATTTCGCATGAGAAAATACTAACTATTCTATTAAAACTGTTTATATCAGTTATAAAATTCAGAGAAGAAGTATTCTTTTTATTTTGAATAATCAAATTCTTGCACACTCTTTTCCGCCTCAATTTTTCACATACTTCATCTGCATCATCGGTATTATTCATATTTCATACATCGAACATATAAATCAGAGCTGTTTTTGTTTTATATTACAAATGGAAAAAATAATTTTTCTTTATTATTGAATTGCTATTTTAGATCAACAACGCATTGAAATTCCTGTTCAACACATCCCATCTAAATCACTAGCAAATCAGTATAAATCGACTGTTTCTGACCGAGACCAAGATGTCATGTACTTATGCTTTAACTGTCAACAAGCTTTTCAAACTGATCGAGCTTCAAGTTACTGTCCAAAATGTGAAAACAGAATGCAACAACAAACTAGATATGAAAATGTCCCAGTCTCTCGACCACAAAGTCGAACACAACTAACGAATATGTATCCACCATCCTATTCTATTGCTCCACCACCAGCACCACCACCAGCGCCAGCGCCAAAACAATCAAATAACCGTAAAAATTGTCCACGCTGTGGATATTTGAATATTTTGGCTAATCTATCGAATCCTTTATCGCATTATTGTTCTGC